GCACACAATATTCATGTAACTATGTGTCATCCTGGCAATAATAGACTACGTACCCCGCTGGCCTGTACCTTGGCACGGGAATGATTTTTCGTTGTTTCGAATGACTAAATGGACATTCTTCATTTTTACATTCGTCTCCGGATACACAAGTTATGTGCCGATAGATACATTCTCTGTCATGCTTACACCAACCATCACGGTTTCCACTGCATAGAGTCCATTCATTTATTGGCTCTTTCATTGCTTCACATTGAATATTGACTTCATCAATATCAGTGACAGACAACGCTAACTGTTCAGCTTCGAACATCGTCGGAATGTTCAAGATCCATGCTTCCATAGGATCTCTTTCAAGAAATCTTCCTTTGCGAATAAGAACGTCCCAAACATTGCTGTTAAATGCTGTTGCCAGTCGTTCACCACTTACATGAGAAGGAATGTTCCGTACACGAACACAATATCTTGTACCATCGGCAATGGGCTGTAGATCTATAGAGATTGTATCCAACGATGGTGCAAAGCACTTGATCTCAATTATGTATGATTCTACTTACATGTTGCTCGCACAAACGAAGATTTGACTTTTTCCAAACGAATATTTGCTCCATTGATCGTATGTATAATTGAATTTAACACAGCTCGATCGACGGCATCATAACTGGAAAAGGGAACACTCTCAGAGCAACAGGACTAATCAAACTTACTCTTCAAAATCTATCATTGCTGTGTGTTCCGACGTCCAAGCAAATGCTTTCACCTTTCCATAATTCGTCTCAAAATAAGAGCGTATATCGTCTTCGGTCGGTACTACATTCAAACTAGTTTCGATGAAACTAAGCAGCAAACGATAGCTTTCCGTGAACGTCAGACCAGCAGGAAGATATCTTTGTACAGAGATTGGATAGCCGTTGAGATTGTAACTTTGACGATCGCCATTCATGCAACTTTCAACAGCGGCCTGTTCCGTAAAAGTAAGACAAGCAAGTTTTCGTAGTTTTTCTAAAGTATAAACTTGATGAACATGAGCTAATACTATTACTTGAAAGTGTACCTGTACTTTGAGTAATGTAAGGTTCAGCGCGTAATGTTCCAAAGCGACTGGCAAAATCAATAATTGTCTGCCGACTCACCTTGCAGGAATATGTTTAACCAAGACTGTGTATTTTGACGATTCAGTTCCCACTACATTCGGTGGTAAAGCCCCAGATGGCGAGTGATCGTATACAAATCTCTAAGCAATGATCATAAATTAAAGAGAGACTCACAACTGTTCATCTATTTAAATTTACTGGACGATCTTTTTGAGGATGGTTCTTGTCCGACATTAGTTACCAATTTACCCACTAAACAATTACTTCATGTCTGCTTGCAAAATAAAAAGACATGTGCTTCACTCGACAGACAATATTACTTCTTTTTCTTCTTGGTTGCAAAGAAAAGAAAGACATTGCACAAGAACTCTCAAAGATTAATATGGTAGGCGTATGCAAATAATCAAACTTCAAATTTTTCGTTCGATAAATATAAATTAACAATGTTGGATGAAAAAAAACCCAAAGTTTTATCAAGTGATTCCGACTGACAGATACTACAGCGCAAACAAATGTCTCATAAAAAAGTTTCATTTTGGGATGCTTTGTTTGTAACACCGATTGGTTTTGTGTGCTGCATAAATTGAGAAGTTCATTAAAAAGAGATTAATCAGAGAATATCGCCGCATGAACATTGACCATCGTCGAATTCGTGGTATCGAAATGAATCTCCTAAGAAAAAAAGAACATTGTTTGGTAACTTTTCGTCATAGTCTGACACCGTATTGTTCCAAAGGGAAAGCTATCAGTTTCCTTACTGAAAACAATCTTTCGATTGCGTAATTTCGATAGGCGTTTTAACATTTCATGACAATCTGGACATATGCGTAAGTTCTTTGTCAGCACAAGGGAACTTCTAGACGATGTTGAAATTAATGCTAGAGCAATGGCTAGTTTTTCTAAACAGACCAATCTCCGTTGCAACCAAGTGAAATTTATCTTTTATTACCACTATGTACACTACCACTAGGCACAGAATTATTATCTACCATATGTCCATCTTTTTCTAATTCATCATCAATACAAGCCACTTCTTTATAGATTTCATCAGTTTGGCTATGACGACGACTAAATGGATACAGTAGTGGTTAAAACATCGTTGAAAAGTAGAATTAGAAGTTTACTCATTTGAATAGAACTCATGTAAAGTTCCATTGATCTCGATCCACGTTAAACCAGGCATTTTCTTCATCTGCTTGTCTCGCATTAACTGTCGAATCTTGAAAGCATCTTCTCGACGTCCTTGAGCATTGTAAAGATTAGCTAGAGAAAAGATCCAATGAAGAAAAACAAACAGATACCTAACAAACAAGAGTACCAAGCAGTACGTAAGCAACTTTCAAATCTTCCGATCGGAACGTATTCAAATTCTCCAGACGACGAACTATAGTTTCAGCCACTGATACAAGACCACAGCGACGTGCACGACTCAGTATGGACATATACATTGTAATTGACGGTGGGTTCGTTAATTCGTATTTTTCAATCATTTTTAATGCCTAAGAATATAAATTTAAAGAAACGAGTAATGTTTACTAAATGTATTACTTCGTCGAATCGATCAGCTCGAGCTAATGCATCAATCTAAATGCTACTTAGAGAAAAAAATTATCTTTTTTTTCTATTTTCGTTACAATTGTAATATATTTCCAAAGTTCAGGTAATTCAATCTTATATTGTAAAAATATTTTCTTCGCTTCGTCAAGTAAACCTGAATGTGAACAAGCACTGAGCACCTAGTAGCAACAATCAATAATATCGACTTCGATCTGAACTGAAAAACGAAATCTACTGTGGAATAGATTTGTGCATTCGGTTTGATCTCTGTTTCCATTTGCATACGCTCAAACATATGAAGTACTTGTCGTCCGTTGGCATGCAGAGCATAAGTATTGAGCTAAAACAAATTTCTTGTCGAGACCTTCGATCCAACTGTTGAAATAGAAATTTAAACTAACAATTGTTCCCCATGACACAATATCGTTTAAATCTTGATTTGTTTCGAAAATGCTCCTAGCCATTTGAAGATCTGCACACTTACCAAACCTGCAATGAACTTGCGTCACATCTCCGATCACGTCAAGAATCGATTTACGTACATGTCAATAGCAGCGTTTCGGCAATGAGAATTTCGTGCGCATGGACGCAAATCATTCAGCATTCTTTGATAGTATTTGTGTGCATCTTTCAAACATACGCGTCCAATTTTTGCACCTGAATAGTTGGGGAAGAGCTTATTAATAGTTTATCTGTTTCGAACTCACACGCATTGAATACAAGAAGAAAATGAATGCGATCAGGTTTATAAGATTGTTCGTCGATTCTTTGTTCGAATAATGCCAACGTTTCTTTTGGCACAGCTGATTTGTTATATGCTTTCATCATCGCGTTGTAAAGAGATGGTGTGCGTTTTTCCAATTGAATAGAGTTAAATAATTGAATACATTGTTGAAGATGACTGCCAGCTTTACCCTTAGAAACAAAGTTCCTCACGAAAATGAAAGTCTTCGAGGAAACAATTTTACGAGCATATCAATCATCGTAGTAATAAGATTTGTGTTCTGTAGCAAATGTGGATCGTTATTTACGAGAATTCGATCAACGATTTCTTTTCCTCGAGCATAATCGCCTAATTTCGAACATGCATTGATCATTGCTAAATGAAAATATTGTATGAATACGTTCATTTATCATAGAATAATATGTACCGTTGTAAGAAAATCGATCATGTGTTAATTGTCCTTCGTTTTCAATTTTAGTAAATAGTTCCACAGCTTTTTCAGGCGTGCCATGACGAATATATCCCTAACAATCATAAATATTTATTTCTTTTCCTTTGATACTCAGAAAAGACTGCTTACAGTCATAAGAGTAGCGAATATACTGATATGAGTTGGTTTAGGCATAGCCGCTACGAGTTTTTCTGCATGGGAAACATCGCCAAGAGCGACAGCATACATGTAAACAAGTCCTCTTTGCACTTGAGTTCCATTCCTAATCGAATCATCTTGTTCTATGAGATCATGCAATCGATCTGCTTCTATTCTCTGTTTTGAACCGGTGATTGCTTGCATCGCAAGTAGATAATTCATATAAGTTGGTTTGATTTGATGCTTCTGAATAAGTTCATCGAATAAACTCAATACTCGATCATTCTCAGCACGATTAAGATGAGTTTTCATTCGACGACCATATTCTCGACACAAATTACTCGTGATTTGTTGATCGTTCTGAAAAGTATCGTTTGTACTCGTCAGTAATCGTAAACAAATCATTGAACAAAGAGAAACTCGAATTTTATACTGTAATAGCATCTGCAAAGGAATTATCTTAAACATTTACTTTTATTCATGCCATTCTTAAGATACATTAATATAAAAAAATCATTATCAACATTTGAAAATCTTTCTAATGTAATTGTTTGGTTAAATAAATGTTGGAATTTGCTTTCTCAACAATGATGATAATGAAATGTAGAAAGAAAGGAAGAAAGAAAAAAAAAGAGAAAAAGCAGAGAGAAGAAAAACCAAACAAAGATCTAATTCGTTTTTTCATTTGCATGTGCAAAATAATCATCCGAGTTATCCGTGTACGTGTAACAAGCACAGGAGGAAAGAGCAAGAGATATTTGCGGAAACAAAACGAAACACAAAGAATTGATCAGGAAAGGAATGAACGACAGAAAGTAGGACAGGAAATGAAGTGAAAAAAGAACAAACAAATGATTGTAGATATGTGTATATGTCCAAAAACAAAAGAGTTTTGTTCAATGTTGATCGGAGAACAAGCACTGTTTCTTTTTTTAAATGTGTTCAATAACAAGAACAAAAGGCATGTTATTTGATCACATTGGATAGGATGCGCGCCAGAAAAAGAGAAAACTACGAAATAAAAAGGAAGAAAACAATGTTAGAACATAAGATGTTCGTCCATATTAACATGAGAATGAGGTATTTGATATTCATTCTCGACAGTCACAAGGCCGTGATGATGATCCAATGGCCAATAGGAAAGAATTTGAAAAGCTTCGTGCATTATATCCGATACACATTTGTCCTTTTTGGCTAGTAAATTTGTTGTGGAAGTAGCATTGGTAGTTGTTGATAGATGTTGATTGGTTTGTTGTTGTGGTGGTTGTTGTTGTTGCGGCTGTTGTTGAATAGCAAGCACCGGTGCTGAATGTTGAGTGGAATGTGACGGTAATGTTTCTTCAAGTACAAATGAGGGTGATATTATGATACAATGCGACATTTGGTTTTGTAACGAAATAGGATTATGAGAAATGTTAGTATTAGTCATATTATTGTTTTTCATCGATATATTCGATGTAGTTACAGACTGACGATCCGTAGGTTGCATTATTGACGATGACAGTGGATAATTTGAATTCGAATTTGAACCGCCTGATGGACTTGTTGATGCCGAACCAGGTGATGAAGACGATGAACAATCACCACCTTGTGACGAATAGTGATTGGAAGCATGTTGTGCATGTTCTTGTTGCTGCTGGTGGCCATTGCTAATCATAGACGATGAATTGCCATTCACACCTCCCATGGTCATACTATTCTCAGACAAATGGAAATCATCTGATCCCGATAAGTTTGAATGCCCATAATGAGCAGGATAATATTGTACAGTAATATGTTCGTCATTCTGTATTTCAACTTTCATTGATGATGTACAATGTATACCACCGCGTAATGAACCCTGAGCTTTATTTCGGCGTAAACCCTGACTAACTAAAAATTGATACAAGATTGTTGCGGATTTTCAAAACAAAGAACGGGATTACTTACATGGTCCTGTACGATTACAGTAATAATATTCTGTGGTTTGGTTGTCTGATTTGCCCTTCGCACCACAGTTTTTCACATACTTCGAACCAGTTAGACTTTCAAACGATGATTTCCAGTCAGTAAAATCTGTTTCATAATGAAAACGACGATAAGAACAAGAAAAACCAAGTTTCCATTCATTTACCTGCATGACTGGTGAATTTCTTTTCTTCTGTACACTTATATTCTGGTTTTTGATGATGATTCGATAGATGATTTCTAAGAAATCGAAAAAAAAACCATCGATAACTTGTTTTCAAATTTGATTTTTAGCATACCGAAGATCAGAAATAGCTAACATTTGATATGTACATCCAGGTTCTTGACACTTGACTCGATGAAGCGCTGTTGGTTCGACCACGCCTTCCCCGACGGAAAAAAATAGACATAATTAATATAACAATATTTGACTTATGTCAGAAATTATCCCTCAGCTTGATTTTTACTAGATAAGACTGACCTACCTCGATGTCGTTTCTTCTTGTGATAACGTAGTCCAGCACCAGATCGATAGACTTTGGCACACATTGAACACACGAAACGACCTCCGACAGGCGCACTATTATCATAGGTCTCTGACGGTGATGAGGCTCCCGTCAAGCCTTTTTTTGTCATATTTTTGAGAGGAAAGAACAGAAAAGAAAAACCAAGAGAAGAAAGAGAAGAGGAGAAAGAAAAATCTAAAAACAAAAGAAAATAGTCATACACATGGTTTCGATTTTATTGATATATAATCTAGTTTTCGCTTTTTTTTCTCTTAATCAAAGAGCTATCAAGGAAATCTTATTTCAAGATTGTGTCAATAAAACTGATTTACCCGTACAATGTTTCTTTTTTCTCTTTTTTGGTTGTATTCGAAATAAAAAAAGGAAAAAAAAGTTATGAATAAACGGAAAAAAAACCAACGAACAAAACGAACAAACAAAATGTCTTGGAAGAAGAAAAAACAAAGGCACCTCTACAAAAAAAAACCAAAGCAAAACACAAATAAGTGTACTGCTAGCTAGTTTCTCGACTTGTGTAGAAGACAAAAACAAAAGGCCACAAATAGAAGAATGAGATACACAAAAAGAGAAAGAAAGAGAGAAAGAAAGATACAAGCCAAAAACAGAGAAAGAGTTTATCAACAGTAAAAAAAACAAAATGAAAATGACGAGGCTCCTATTTCATCATATGTTCTACATAGAAAGAACACGTGTACATGCGTATGTGTGTGTATCTTATTGAGAAAGAAAGAAGGAAAGAAAGAGAGACCGGATGTTAGATGTGTATGTATAGAGCACAAAAAAGCCACTGTACAAAAAAAAAACGTGCACAAAAAAACTTTCAGTTTTCCTTTCTGTATCTAACTCTCGTTCGTCTATTTCAATACTCTTTTTGCCTAGTCACTGTTATAGACTATTCATCGAAATAAAAATGAACTTGATCATCTGCTTAGATCGATGAATACTTTTTTAAAAAAATATTAAAAACACAACGGTTCCTTTTCTTTTGGAATCTTGGAGTTGAGTTGATTCGATGATCTTCAGGCTAGAATAATTTAGATGGAGAAGAGAAGAAAGGAAAATTAGTCTTTTTCTTTGTGCATTTATAAAACACACAAGTACACACGCACATAGACGTGTTTATCACACGCATTTGATAATTGTTGTATTCACCTGGAAAAAAAATGATATAAGTCAGTTTGATATGTCTAACAATGAAATATTTGATTCTCTTTCTCTCTCTCTCTCCCTTTTTCTATTTCCATACCATTCATTCATTCGTTCGTACATAAGGTAAATAACTTACTGGCGCAATATTGATAATAATACTCGATGTTTGCGTATGATGTTGATGCTGAAGTCTGGCACAATGGTCTGTCGTCGTTGTTTGTATTTGTTGTTGAACAGCTGCTTGTACGACTGTTTGAATGGGCGGAATAGTTTGTTGTTGTACAGATGACTGTTCAACTAATTCACCATTAGTTGTCGGTAGAACCGTATTTGTAGTTGTTGACGATGAAGGAGCTTGTAACGGTGGTTCTGCTGTATGACCATAATGGGCAGGATAATACTGTACGGATACTTGATCATTGCGACTGATGTCAACTTTCATCGAGGAAGTACAATGAATTCCGCAACGAAGTGATTCAGTAGCTTTGGAGTTTCGACGCCATCCTTGCCGACTTTGTTTATCTAGATGAAGAAAACAATGTTTAAAGTCTTTTCTCGAGGCACAAGTAAATATTTACATGGTCCTGTTCGATTGCAATAATAATATTCAGTTGTTTGATTCTCAGATTTGCCTTTGGAGCCACAATTCTTCACATATTTCGAGCCACTACTTTGTTCGAATGATGATTTCCATTCAGTAAATTCTAAAAGTAAAATCAAATAGATAGAAATAGATATTATGCATATAGACTTCAAACAATTGAAATCGCTAAATCAATTAATCTAGAGAAGAATTTGTTTGAATGTCATCAAAATCTTCTTGACATTTCTTTTCATGCACTGAAGTTAATGACGATCGATTTCCTATACGATCTCAACTGCGGCAAGTCCATCGAGTTGTTCACGGAAAGAACAAAATAAAATATCATGTCTACCCTAAAGTATGATCCGAACTTTTCTTGGAAGAGAATCGAGTGATCAAGTTTGTCGGTAACTCTGGTGTAGATTACTCAAAGTCTCCAAAAGAATGTCACGGTCAGCAAAGAACTCTTACCAGCAAACGAATTGAATTTCTTTTCTTCCGTTGTTTTGTAATCCGTTTTCAGATGATGATTAGCTAGGTGGTTTCTCAGATCAGATATGGCCAACATTTGATAAGCACATCCGCTTTCAAGACACCGCACTCGATGCAATTGAGTTGGTTTAAGCATACCTTCATCTGAACATAAGATATGAATATAGACTCAAGTTTTCGTCTCTCATACCTCGATGGCGTTTTCTCTTATGATACCGAAGACCAGCAGATGACCGATAGACTTTGTTGCACAAGCTACAAACAAGTCGATCTTGGCCTGGCGATTTAGTTGTTTTATTTTGAACTGTTGTATTGTTAGCAACGGGAGTCGTAGCAGCTGAAGGTGCAACAAGTGTCGTTGAAGTACTGGTAGCAGCTGCTACTGTTTGTGGTTGGACAACCGTTGTTGTCTGTAGTTGTTGTTGGGTAATCATGGAAGGAACAGCTAAGTTAGAAAATGAAATTCTCTTACTGTCGAAAATTTGTACAAAAAACGTCTTGTCTACCTAAAGGTGTAGTTATAATCATCGGTGCTACATTGTTTGCTGTGGGCAATACGAAGTGTTGTTGTTCACTGATAGGTTGTTGTTGAACAATAACAATACCACTTGATGTCGTGGTACTTGTTGAAGTCGGTATCGATATTGGAGTGACGTTAACACTGCCACCCGGCTGGGTGGTATTCTGTTCGGACTTTTTCGTCATGAAGCTCTTTCTCTCCTATTCTTATTAATGAGACTACCAACGAGATGAGTCTCCAAAAGCGAAGAATATGAAAAAAAGGAATTTAGGATCAAACGAAAAGAGAAAAAAATTATGTCTTCTATTACATATATTTATATGATGAGTTATCTAAAACAGAAAAGAAAGAACAGGAAAAAGGAGGATGGACAAAACACGTCTTGTGTTCTCTTTTCTAATACTCTAACATTTTAAATAGGAGAAGAAAGAGGAGAAAGTAGAGAACGACATTGTCAAAAGACAGAAACAAACTATCAGCGTACATTTTCGCACTAGGTGCTGTTCGGTTGGAAGAAGTAGTGATTTTTTTCCTTTGCCTACTCCATCGCTCTCGTTCTTCCCTTCTCTCGTTCGTTTTTCTTCTCTCTTCTCTAAGCGTTAAACATATAGAAAAAAGACAGAAAAGAAGTGATCGCAACGGGCGTTGTCGTCGATATAAGTGTATATGTGTGTGTTCGAACGAACGAGAGAAACGAAGAAATAGAAAGAGAGAAAGAAGAATACGGGAGGTAGTGAAACAAGGACAACGACGGACGACGACGACGACAGCAAACAGTCGAAGAAGAGAAAACGAAGAAAAATAAAAAGGCCAAAAAAGAATAAAAAGGAAAAAGCCGAGCGCGAACGGAGGAGAGGAGAGGAGAGGAGAAAAGGAGGACGAGAAGAAACAGACAGAAAAATATCATACGAAGAAAAAAAAAGAAAGAAAAGAACGGTGATATTTCTCTTACCAATGATTTTCTTTTGATTATAGTGCATTTATGGCAGATGGCGGTAACTTACAGTTCAAAAGACAATGCCACTTGCCGAGAATATCAAACATTGACAGTGGCGTCCAATATGATCCATATGATACAAAAGTATAGGTGTTAATGCTCGTTTCATTTGTAACGTTGAAAAGTTAAGATATTGATTCATTTTTTCCAATTGTAATACGGATTTATATATCTATGATCGACTGTAACAAAGTAGTGAGAGAAATGTTGAATAACTCTGGACAAACAGCTGTAAATTTCGTTTTCAAATTTGACTTACTCTAGTTGAAAAGTTTGTCTATGTTATTATCATCGATAGCGAGTAGAATTTCATCAGTGCATCATGTGACTAGTAATTTCATCAATCAAGAGAAATCAATCAAATCGCTTATTTTTTAGCGAAAGAATATTTTAGATCTATCAAACAGTAATGTCATCGAATGATTTTCCTCCATTAAAGAATGATCTCATTCTTCGTGTATGTCGTGGTGAATCCGTCGAGCGTGTTCCTATTTGGATAATGCGACAAGCTGGCCGTTACTTACCGGAATACAAAGCAGTTAGTGCTCAACATTCATTTTTCGAAGTATGTCGTACACCGTCACTTGCATGTGAAGTTACACTTCAACCCGTCCGTCGATTTGATCTCGATGCTGCAATTATTTTCAGCGATATTCTCGTTATACCTCAGGCACTTGGCATGCAAGTGGAAATGGTTGCAAACGAAGGTCCTTGCTTTCCTCAACCACTAAAAACGCCCGATGATATCAATACAAAACTTGATCGTACACGACAAGCTAGCGTTGAATTGAAGTATGTCTACGAAGCTATTACATTAACGAGACGTACACTCGATGGACAATGTCCATTGATCGGATTCAGTGGTGCTCCGTGGACATTGATGTCGTACATGATCGAAGGAAAGGCTAGTTCGACGATGTCTAAAGCGAAACGATGGTTATATAGTTATGAAAAAGAATCACATGATCTTCTTGGCATTCTCGCAAAGTTTATTATTGATCACCTTGTCGAACAAATCGCTGCTGGTGCTCAACTTGTTCAATTATTTGAATCGCATTGTGCTTGTTTAACACCGGATTTATTCAATCGCTTCTCGTTACCATATTTGTCTCAGATTGCAAAAGGTGTTCGTGATGAACTTTCCAAACGGCAAATCGCTTCTGTCCCATTTATTGTCTTCGCTAAAGATGCACACTACGGTCTTCAAGATCTATCATCGACTGGTTTATTTGACGTGATCAGTTTAGACTGGACTATAACATCTGCATGTATCAAATCGTTAAGAAATGAAAATTCAAAACTAGTTCTTCAAGGCAACCTTGATCCATGTGCACTCTACTCATCAAAAGACAACTTAGAAAAGACGGTTCATGAAATGCTACAAGTGTTCGGTACGAAACAATACATTGCTAACTTAGGCCATGGAATCTATCCAGATATGTCTGTGGACAATGTCAAATGGTTTATCGATGCTGTTCATGAGATTTCCAAAGGGATGAATAATGATAGTAATGCAAACAAATCGTTATAGAAGTTTGGTTTTTGAAAATGTTTTTCTTTAAACAGCGTATCTATTTCCGCACAAGATTTGATAGAAATTTCTATTGACATTTGATATCATCCGATTTTTAGATGTTTGATTGGATTGTTTCATCCTTTTTCATGCAAAATACGACGTCGTCTACTGTAAGTTCAAAGTTGTTCGTCAACGAGATGATTGAATATCTTGAAAATTTTAGAAATCTTCAACCCCAATTCGAATACTTGATATTCAACAGTTAGATGACTTATATTCTCTATCTCATCCATTTATAAAATGTCCGAATACCATTGCTCACCTTCGGAAAACGAAGGTACGTTTTTCGATGCATGCCAAAACTTATTCTCCTTTCAAATCTTCTTCTAGGTAATGTTTCTAATGCGAGGATTGCCTGGATCGGGTATATGAAATGTTAAAGTTATTTCTTTATTTATCTTTTGTTGCTCAGGTAAATCCACGCTGGTGAATATTCTCAAAAGAATATATTCGCAATCATTTGTGATTTGTTCGGCAGATAATTATTTCCTTGATAGTCAAGGTGTGTATAATTTTAATCGAGATAACATTGGCGACGCACATCGCGTATGTCAGCAACATGCAGAAGATGCTTGCAAGTATAAAACTGAAAAGAAATTGTCTCTTCTGATTGTCTACATGTGTTGTTCTTGTAGAAATAATGTCTTAGCTGTGATTATTGATAATACAAACATTCGAATGGATGAATGTAGGCCATATTTTCAAAAAGCGTCCACTTATGGTTACATTGTGATTATTGTTGAACCACGAACGAATTGGAAACGTGATGCTAATGTTCTGAATAGTTGGTTAAGACGAAAGATTCTTTGATTGATTTTGAAAGATTTCTTTTTTTGTCGTTGAATAGTTCGAAATACACATCAAGTACCAGCAGATGTTATCGAAGGACGTCTACGTCAGTATAGTCCGCTGATTCCATTCTATTTCGGTCTGTTTCTCAATCAAGAGCAATCGAACTATGTCCTCCAGCAAGCATACGGTTATTATCAGCAAGCTCTACAAATGTTTCCACAGCTACGAAAAGATCTTGAAAAAGTTAGCCGTTCGAAAAGTAAAGAGTAGAGAATAAAATTTTGTTTTTTTTAACTATTTACTTTCGTACAGACATACATGTGAATAATCTACTACATCGATCGAATATGGCTGTACAGCCGAAGATTCTTCACTGCACTGTCAAATTCATTGGAAAGATAACAGATCAAACTCGAAATGAATATTCAAACTATGCTGGAAACCGTTTGGTTTCACATTTACTAGGGAAAATGTGCTCTGGTTATATTGTTGGTTTTGCTATTACGCCACGTACATTAGGCAAGTATTGCGATCATCACCTTTCTTCATACAAGTCTATGAATTTCAGGTGCTCGTCTTCTCTTTACTGATCGCAATGTTTGGTCGCTATGGGACCAAGATGATAATGAGACTGTAACGAAAAATTCAACTTCAACAGCTAGAAATGATAATGCCCGAGGTTATGGTAATAAAAAACAGCAGCAACAACAAAATCGTGGGCCTCGTCGTAATAACAAGTCAAAGGTTACAACAACTGATGATGATGATTATGATACATCACCTATGGTTCGATCCGTAGCTGATGATGATGTGCTTTTAGTAGATAAAGTTACTCCATCCAATGAAAGTGAAGAAATGTCATTTCTTCATCCAACATTTGGTTTTCTTTCACGAGCTCATTTGACATGTGGTGTTGGGCCAGGTGTTAGCGCAGCTCAAACTGGTCAAGATATGATCGACATGATTCGAAAAGAAAGTGATAGTCTTCAAAGAAATACTCGAGTGCTGGACAGTGATAATGAACAGATGGTTATGAAATATTTCGGTGATGGACATTGTTTCGTCTATTTAAAAGAACCTATTCCGGTCGAAACAATTTTTACGGGATTCTTTAATTAATTCTATTTTGTTTTCTTGAATTGCACCTTACAAAAAAAGCATGCTTTGTTTTTTTTTCTGTGTCTTTCAGATTCGATTGAAAGTTAGAAATGGATGCCGAAAATGAAGATGAACAAATTCAAAAACAATGCGTACAGTTATTCTCATCGACAGATTTCATTATGGAATCCAAAGTTTTTGATACTATTAAGGAGTAAGAGAATTGCATCTGTATGCATAATTGTATTTTTTCTTTTGTTCAGTTATTTTCGACATGGAGGTGCGCCTGATCAGGTCATCGAATTGTTATCAGAAAACTATATGGCTATCGCGCAAACAGCCACGTTGATGGCTGATTGGTTGATTCTAACAGGAGTTGAACCAGCCGATGTTGTCAATATGATTGTGCAGCATTTACAAACATTAATTGAGAAACATTTCGAACCAAAAAAAGCAGATAGTATTTTCGAAGCCGGAGGAGTGTGTATATTTTGATTTTCTCGTCAAGCTAAAGATGAATTCTTTTGCTCAAATAGGTTCCATCTTGGCTAACTGACATGACTGAACATATGAATTGGCGTTCGATGATTTATAAATTAGCAGAAGAATATCCTAATTGTTTAATGTTGAACTTCACCATTAAAGTAACACTATCGATTGGAAATGAGGTTTTCATTGATAATGGCGTCCTTCACTCTATAGCTTTTGGTCGATTCTGGTCATGAAGATGAAATCACAAGTGTGCCTGTAGCAGCTCAACAAGTCGAAGTCTTCACTAAAGTCTTGATGACCACTATTCAACGTACTATCGATAGTGAACCTGATGATTGGCAACGAAACATTCAAGAACTTGTGGTAAGAACCATAGTGCATCGAATGAGATTAGAAAGACGTCAATTTTTCCCTAGCAATTGGCTTGTCATAGTGAACACACTTATTTGTATGCACAAAGTGTTCTCGCGTCATTGGCAAACGATGCGAAATCGATGATTGTTCGACGAATTTCAGAAGAAATCGAACTGCATGCCAAAGCAAAGTAAATCATTCCTTTTCTATTGCATTCGACTCTTAAAATATTCATATTTTTTGTTTCATCGTTCAGAGGTCATAACGTAACAGATATTACTTTAACATTTGATGGCACAACTGCTTATCCGAAAGCCTATCAACCACTCTGTACAATGTTGTCGAAAAAAGTATTAAATCCAGCTGATATAACTACTGTAAGTGATCTTGATGATTTCATTTGCTTAAAAGAAAACCTTTTCTTCGAATAGCTCTATAAAATCTATCAATCCAACGATGCTCCACCGGTTGATCTTATTCGAAAGCCGGCTTTCATAGGTAAAAACTCTTCTTTTTCCATCGAAACATCTTTTAATATTCTTTTTTTTTCTAGAATTATTAATCACCCAATTATTTGATCCCGATTCCACACTAAATCCAGAACATCGACCCAAATATATCGCTCTTCTCGCATATGCTTGTAGTGTTGCTGAAACGAACAAGAAAGTAAGTTTCTTTGTCAGTCAAAATTGATTGTGTCATCTTTTGTATAGAGTTCTCGAAAGAGTACAATCAATAGTAAAGAAGAATTATCACAAACAACTATAGCGCTTGAGAAAGCACATGAAATATGCATTAGTTCAAAATCGACGGTTGACCTCATCAGTGACTTGAATGAACTCTATAAATGTCTTCGGTATAATCTCTTTTCTAAAAACATGGCAAGCACTTAAGTTAACTGTATAGATTTCCAATTGTTGCGGCGTGTGTTCTTCGTTGGATTGAATTTCGTATATTTGATCAAAGCTATTTTAAACTTGATCAAGGTACAACACCAGTTCATCTCATTATTATCGACGAGGTATGCTTGTGCCGAGAGAACTTCATGTGATCTAATAACCGACTATTTCTTTTAATTAGATTGTCAGTTTGCATTTCTTACTACACCAAAAAGCGTTTGAATTATTAGTTCGTGTTTTCGAAGCGACATTTGCCGAACTCGACATACTTATTCATGTGAGTGATCTTCAACAAAAGATTCTTTTATATGATGTATAAACCTTGTTGTTTCATTTTAGTTGGAATTCAAAAAGACGATTCTTGATCGTATGGTTCACATGCTCAGTTGTTCCTTTGTGCATCCAATATTGGAATATATAAAAAAACGTTGGGAACAACAAGACACAGATGTATCGCTGATTCGTCATTTTGTATTCGAAGTAAATTATTGATGTCATTGCTTTTGTTGAGTTAACATTCTATGTGTCAAGGTTTTGGAAATGATTGGTCCTCCTTATGAGCCATCGTTTGTACAATTATTTTTACCTTTGCTTCAAAATGAAGCTATCGGTGGAACAATATCTCTTCGTACCGAAGAAGAACGAAAATGTGTGAAAGAATTTATTGGTAAAGTTAATCTCGCTTTCGAAACTTTCTCTCTTACATATAATTCTTCTTTGTAGACCATACGTCGACGATTGTTTCATCGAATACGTGAAATTTATGTTTCATTCGTGTTCTAATGACTTGATTTGTATAGAATAATTCCTTTTCCAAAATGGAAATAAAAACAAAAACAGCACAGGACAAATCGTTCTTGCTTTCTTTAACATCAGTTGAATTTTGTAGAAATTCCATGCGTTTTTGTGCGAATCTATCGACATTATTCAATGATATACCCAAACTAACCGAACGGTATATTCATGTTGGACAACGGTAATCTTTTACAAATCCCAATAGTTTCATTCTTGTTTTATGAATCTCGCATCCATAGAAAAGACTATCGATTTGACGCTATTGAATGTCAAAATCCATATGAGGTATCTGCTGATACATGGAAAGAGGTGATGGCGAAAGACGGATCATTGAAATGGATATTAATCAATAGTTTACCGCTTTATGATCAAACAAATGAGATTCCATCATTCAACGAATACAAAAAGATAGTTCTTGATCGTACACTTGATTATGCTAAAATGTTCAACGTCAATAAAGTGCACTTAGTGATGACAGAAGCAAAAAATGATTCGGATCGGTAAGAATTTCTCATACTAAAGATTTTATATTTATATTTACACGGAGTTAAGATCAAGGATCATCGATCTTGTACATCAGGCAGCTCAGTTCTTTCAACCACATCGCATTTTATGTCTGATTGAGCCACTTTCAACACGGCCGAACTACTATTTACAATCGTATTCGACAGCAATGAATATTGTTCAGTCATCTAACAGCAATAATCTGAAAATCATGTTGGATTCCTTCCATCTTCAACGATTACATGGAAACTTAACTGAAAGAGTTAAAGTATTCGAAATGAATTCTGATTAGTTTTCAAACACAGTTCATCTTTTCTCATCGTAAGGAATTAGCTCCGTTCGTTGGACACGTTCAAATTTCACAAACGCCAAACCGTGATTGTCCTATGAACGAAAATGGCGAAGTTAATCATCGATATTTTCTATCTAACCTCATTGCATCATTCTATCAAGATTACATCGGTTTAGAATATAATGGTAAGGAAAATCAATGCAGTCTCCTTTAGTCTCTACGCGTTTTTTCTAGATTCAAGTAACGCATCTCTAAAATGGCTGGATGAATTCACATCAACCAATTGAGTTTTCTTGTATTGTAATTTTCTTGATTTTGGTTATAATCAATTTTTGATGATCATGGTAGTATTTCATACATACATGGATTAATTCAATACTCTATAAATTGTAACTGTCGAAGAAAAGCGTTGACTGAGATACTAAATTCTATCTCAGAAGCGAAAGATGATTCAATAGTCATCACGTTTCATGTGTCTTGACTGATTTGATGGATACAGAAAAGGTATGGATTACACGAACAAAGTCAGTTTTTCATGCGAATTTCCAAGCTCGAGTGTTTCGACGATTTTCACAATAAAATTCATGAGATTTTCATTAAATGTTATGTAGCGTCCAGTCGTTTCGAAACAGCGTATGCTTGGTAGTAATTGAAAGAGATGATCAATGTTGATGAACGCATTCGGATCGCGATCATTTCTGGACAGTAGAAGACGTAAATGTTTTACACTTGTATTAGATCGGGAGCATAGACATAAATCATCCTCTTCTACAAAGAGTCGTGAAAGCCGAAGCGACGCAGAAAGAATTTGATCAAGCAACGTAAGCACGCTCTGGTGGCCTAATTGCTAAATCATCAAATTCAAAAATGAAACAATGTAACCAAGTGAAGCACAAATGAGACCACGATAAAGTAGATTGATTGTCTTGAAGAAACGGCTAGAAATTTAAGTTTTCCGTAAGAATAACTCGAAAAATATAGTTTACTATCTTCTGTGATTTGAAGAGACATACCTCAATGATAAGAAAAATGCTTACCGATATAACATAGCATTGATCATATATTTGGAAAGTAAGATCCATCGACATGAATGCTGTTAAAACTCTACTAGGTATTACTGAGGTTCGATTACAATCATAAGATATCGCCTAAAATCTGAAACCTGCCGTAATACTTCTTTCTTCTGTCAGCTTTCTTTTTGTTGCAAAAAACAACATCGCAAAGAGCTCAATTTTTCAGTTTCGTACAGATACTGACCCTCATTTCGTAGAATTTCAAGCGAAGTACACGTATATGTCCATTGGCCAGCTTACCGAAAGTAGTTGTTAGTTGAGTTAGACATCCAATGTCATTACTCATCCATTTGAAATAAGGTCGCTTAATCTGGGTTGAATGTCGTGCGAATGAGTGATTATGGGCAGCACGTGTATATTGTAATAATATATCCAATGGACGCGTATAGAAGAGAATGACTCGACCTGTTTCTTTATAATTACGATACCAATAAGCAAGTTGAACTTCAAGATGATACTCGAGGTTGTTGAAGGGCCATGTAGCATCAAATTTATCGACAGTAATCATTTTTAAATCTTCATATAGATATCCAGGAAAACGAATAGAAAAGTGGAATTGTTGCAAACGAGGTAAGTGTTTTCGATTAACAATTTGGCGAAATTCATTATAATGCACAAGTGCTACATAAAAATAAACACGTTTTTACTAACTTTGACATCATTCCATAGATGTCTTGGAAAAACGAAAAGCGTTATTGTCAAACAATGACTCATAACTAAGCGTGTCATCATGATCTGAACAATATACTTTTATCAAATATATCAAGAAGTATTAATTTTTTCAGGACAGATATATTAAGACGTACAATTAGAGTTCGAAGTCGAGTTGTATCAGCCGTTCAACGGATATCATTTTTACAAAGGTTGACTTCAGGTCGCGGAGCTCTCAGATGTTTTGTCTCTTCTAGTCGCTCTTGTTCAACAGTTATGTACAAATATTCTAACAATGGTACAGCATTCTTCTGGAGAACAAGTATCATTTCGAATGGAAACTGAACAGTGAACGTTAGTTGTACTGTGTGTAACAAATGGAAATATTTCAGTTCGTCTAAGTCAGAAAATTGTCTCCTTTCATTGTACCACTGTCAACAGAATTATTCAAATCACAAATTAAAAAAGAACAAGCATGTTCAGCTTGACGAACATTGAAAATATTATTTAAGATCATACAGTCACATGCCTCTCGGCGTTGCAAATATCATTGTATGAAATGAAATTTGTGCTTCGGTCAAACTCTTGCGAATCATCATACATGTTCGGTCTTTATGGTCCTGGGAAAATACTAGATAAAGATAGCGGAAAGAGTTGCTTAATGACAACGGTTTCATTAGACTACAAGTGACACTATATGTCTAGGAATGAGTTTTCTTTACAATTAGCCGTTCAAGACTTGGCGTTATATCTACTGGAGAATTATCCTGCATCCAATATGTAAAAAAAGTCCTTGAAGCACACGAACAATCGTTCGCAGGAGAAGAAAATAGGCAAGCATGCTGAGCATTTGATTCATTTTGTAGTATGGTATTCAACTGGGATAGAATATAAAGGAATGAGTATGGATAATGTGCCGAATACGTTCATTGCTAACGAAAGAAAAAGCATTGAATAAATCGAAAGATGACAAACAATTGAATATAGATAACCACAATTCAGTTGGTAGCGATTCTAAGGTAGATATGCTCATCTTATGCTAGCTGTACACTTGCTGCCGACGAATAGTTCATATGCACATGTTATTATACAAACACTCCAATTACAATCACATCTGTACCTAATTAACGTCTTAGCATTATTTTCAGTGTTCGTCTATTCATCACAATTGAAAATAGTCAAAGATTGACAAAGAACAAACACCGAGATCTCTATGCCGACATGAGTAGTATCGAACGACAAGATCGTAAAAGTGAAGATCACTGACGCTAGTCACCGCAAAGAATTCGACTACTTATGCTGATCGCTCTCCACTTCGATCGTAATTCACCTGCACTCTAACGGCCAATGTCACTATATTTATTTAATATGTCAAGCGCACCGTCAGCACAGAGTGAGTGAAAAGATTGCTCAATTGTAGCTGGATCGAGTTTCTATGTTTCTACATCACCCACCACAAATACTACATTTTCAATTCATAAATATTTTAAAATGTATTACTTCTGATAATTAATTCAATGAGTTGTTACCATAATTCGACTGATTTAGGAATGGTGTCTTATGCGTGCATATCTTCATTTTTTTGTCAAAATCAATCCCATATGTTAACCATCTCCTACATTTTCATGTTAAAGATGTCACTAATTATTCTATTTCGTTTTCACATGATTGGAAAGGACGCTCAGCATACCAAAAATTTTGCCCTGTCATATCCTACATCACATCACTTTATTTTCGTCATTGTAATTGCAACTAGATAATCGCTCTATTATGTCGGCAGCCGCTCGTGCATCACGAAAATGGATATGGGTCGGCACCGGCTTAGCCGTTGCCGGTGCTGCTTACTTACTCAAGTTTGGACCGGGTCAAAAAATGGTACTTGAAACAAAACCATCAGGCGATCAGTCGAAAGCAGCTGCAGCACCTGATGCGTTAGATCCAAACGCATTTCGCAAATTCAAATTAGCAGATATAAAGAAGTATAATCATAATACAAATGTATTTACGTTTGCATTTGATGATCCGAAAGCAAAATATAATGGCAAAACTGCTTCATGCGTTGTGTTTAAAGCAGATGTTAATGGAAAAGATGAAATTCGACCTTACACACCTATTTCACGACCCAATACAATTGGTCAATTAGAATTCGTCATTAAAAATTATCCACAAGGTGTCATGAGTAAACATGTTCATGAAATGAAAAAGGGTGACTCAATTGAAATCAAAGGACCTAGTAATTGTTCGGATATCTATCAAGAACATCGTTGTTTCAATTAATTGTATTTTAGTTCCAAAATACCCATATGAACCGAATAAGTTTCAACAACTTGGTTTGATTGCTGGTGGTACTGGCATTACGCCAATGGCAAGTCGTCATCAGATTTGAAATCAGTTAATAATATACACTATTCTATTAGATTCAAATGATCGAAGAAGTTCTCTTCAATCCGGATGACAAAACCAAAGTTACACTTCTATTTGCAAATACAACTACCGATGATATTCTTCTCAAAGAAGATATCGATAAACTTGCTCAGAAATATCCAGATCGTTTCAAGGTTCATTACACAGTTGATAAACTTGCTGATAAGAATGCTAAAAAAGCATGGAAAGGCGAAGTTGGGTAAGTGAACTTCATCGTATTCTATGTTCCATGAAGTGCACCTATTATTTAGCTACATCACACCTGATATGCTGAAACGATTAATACCGATACCAGCTAAGCAAGATGATGAGAGTTTATTGATTATGGTTTGTGGTCCGCCTGGATTCATGAAATTGCTCAGTGGAGAGAAAACCAAAGATTATAAACAGGTTGGTTTTTTACAGAACAAAGTTACGACTGTTTCACGCTTATTAACGTATAAAATCTATTTATTTTAGGGTGAACTGACCGGTCTTCTTAAAAAGCTTGGCTTTACCGAGAAAAATGTCTTCAAATTTTAATCTCTTTCATTCTGTATTTTTAGTTCATTTGAAACACTAAACACTAACACATGAAATAAATTGGAGAAGTATATTAGTTATAGATGACTAACTACATTATTTTCTTTTCATTATGAACAGTAAGAAAATGATCATAGGTTTCACAATATTTATTTGATATACAAGAGCAAATCATCATGAAAACATAAGTACAATTTCAAATGAAATAAGTAATAAGGAGAAACGGGATGTTCTATGTGAATATCTACTTAATTGTTCACTTTTGACTGGTATATTTTCTAAAAAACAAAGAATTGAATGAATAAAGAAGATGAGAACGAATGAACTTACGTAACAGCCTTGGTGCCTTCTGAAACGGCATGTTTGGCAAGTTCACCAGGCAATAAAAGTCGAACAGCAGTTTGAATTTCACGTGATGAAATTGTTTGACGTTTGTTATATTGAGCTAAACGTGAAGCTTCAGCTGCAATACGTTCTAAACCACAAACGATGAGTCATTTCTTTATGTTGTTTTCATATTTATAACTTACCAAAGATATCATTAACAAAACTATTCATTATAGACATTGCCTTGCTGGAAATACCTGTATCAGGATGAACCTAAATAAACGACTACGATGATTTCAATTTTTATGGGCTACAATGTATTACCTGTTTCAAAACTTTGTAGATATAGATTGAGTATGTTTCTTTTCCTAAAGAAAATTTTCCAATGTGCTGAAAATCCTTCGATCGAATGTGCATTCCAACTTACGTTTACGTCTGTTGACCTTTTTATCGCTGCTAGCGCTCGTTTTGCTAGTCACTTTCGACTGTTTGCTAATCATCTTCTTCGAGCCTTTGCTTGGTGTTTTGAGTGTTGGAGGAGCCATGTTATTTTGATGAAATTGAAATGAAATGCAATTGCAGACAAGAGGTGCTCCTTTTATAGACACATTTGTTGGGTAATGATTGGTTACAGAATGGAAAAAAGTAAAAGAACGCAATGGTTGACGTTTGCAGGGTTATATTTCATTGATCAATTTCTGCATGGTGCAATAACAAGAGCACCATTGGTGAATATCGACCAATCACATTCGAAAAAGTTGTACGTTAGTTGGACACTATATAAAGAGGAACGAAACAGAAACTTTATTTTCACACACATTTTATAAAACTATGTCAGGCCGTGGTAAAGCATCAGGTAGTGGTAAAGCTCGTGCAAAGGCCAAAACACGCTCATCACGAGCTGGCCTTCAATTTCCAGTTGTACGTATTGAATAATGTCTAGTTTCTGGTATAATTTTCATCGATATGTAGGGTCGTATACATCGTTTACTTCGTCGAGGAAACTTTGCTGAACGTGTCGGTGCAGGCGCTCCAGTTTATTTAGCTGCTGTAAGTAAAATATTGACAAACGATAAGATTCGAAGTTTCATTTGTCTAGGTTCTCGAATATCTTTCTGCTGAAATTTTGGAATTAGCTGGTAATGCTGCTCGTGACAATAAGAAGACGCGTATCATTCCACGTCATCTTCAATTGGCTATCCGTAATGATGAAGAATTAAACAAACTATTAGCCGGAGTAACTATTGCACAAGGTGGTGTTTTACCTAATATTCAACAAGTGAGTCAGTCAATGACTAATACTTCCATGATCTACGGAATTTTCCTTTTAGATGTTACTACCAAAGAAAGGGGAAGGTCTCCCCACATCAGTATCTCAAGGTGAAACGAGTTCATCGAAAAAGTCAGCAACGAAATCGACAGGAGAGAAGAAAGCACCAACAGCTAGCAATACTGCGAAAAGTTCATAAATATCTTAGTACGAATGATTCCTCTTCCCTATAAACTATCAAGTTTCATACACAACGTTTATTATATGGTTTGTTTTGATTTTTTGTAAATAAATACAGAGATAAATCCCGAAATCTACGGCACTTCTGATTGTTGTCGTACTCAAATGAGTAGAAAAAGTAATCTATTCTTCTCTTGTTTTAATAGTAAATATTTAGTATAAGTAAAAGAAAATAAGAAAACGAATAGTGACGAATAGATGTATATATCGCGCTGCTTGTTCGACATGTTTCAAGATCTATGTCACATCCGTCGACAGCACACATACATATTGTTTCATCATATTGACATTGAGTAAAATAAATGCTCTTAGATGTCCACGTAAAAGATTTGCAAAGTGTCATTTTAAATTTCATTAATTGTGCCGAATAAATTGACGGTGATAAAGTCTGTCGTGTAATTTGATTTGTTCGATCCACACTAATCACACATGCCACACCATGATCAAATAGGAAGTTTTTGCATTCTAAATCATTTGTTGCGCACAACGCTGTTAGACTAGAATATGGCTGTGGTCGGTAATCTTCATATGGTCGATAACATTTCA